CACCCCATGTCCAGCCTGCTGCCCCGGACCCCGTGCCCAGCCTGTGTGTCCTCCTTATCTCCTGCCTGCCCTGGGCCAGGGCCTCCCTGCATCTGCCTGGGCCTGGCCCTGCTGGCTCCTGGTGCCTGAAACCCGTCGCCCAGGATCCACATGACCCCCTCCCTCAGTCCACAGCCACTACGCGAAGGTCAGCCTCAGTGAGGCCCTGCATGGCCACTGACCCCGCATCGCAGCCCCCGCTGCCGGCTCCCGGCCTCCGCTCTCGCTCAGCGCCGGGCCTGACGAGGCCTCTGCTCTACCGGCCGGGAAGGGAGGCTGTGAGGGAAGGGAGGCTGTGAGGCGGCTCTGGGTCGCGCTTGTTCTCTCCACAGCCCCAGGCCTGCACGGTGCGTGATGTACTTGGTGACGAGGGTGCCTGGGTCTCGGGTCCCCCGTGGACGGCCCAGGGACCACCCTTCCTTCCTGCCTCTCAGGCTGCGGCGAGGATTCCTGACAGCAGAGGTGGGACCGTGACAGTCAGATCTGCCTGGCGCCAAGGCAGAGCCACAGGACGATGCCGCCACCACCGTCATGTCCATGGCTCCTCGCGGGCAACCTGGCCACATGGGATCGTTAGTGAGGCTGAGAGTTAACGCTGTCTGTGCTTTATTTGAAAGCAGCTGCGCTGTGCTGGGTTAGGACACCCCTTTTAACACCCCTGTGCGCTCGCTTCGCAGCACGCCTACTAAAGCTGGAACCGTGAGAGAAGATCAGCATGGCCCCTGCACAGGGGTGACATGCAAATCCGTGACGCGTTCCATATTTAAAAACACACAAAACTCTCTCCTTTTCACGTACAAAGATAAGAGAAAAGCCTGTTTACAGGAAAAGCTCAACCAAAGAAACAGCTCAGCTCACTGTGGTGAGTAAATTAAAGCGACAAAGTGACGGGCCAAGTTCGCACAGAGCACCTGCCCCACGCGGGCAGCCCTGTGTGACGAAAGCGACTGTGCCCACAGCCCCCCTCACACCTTGTGGGGAGAAGCTCTGACAAAAGGGGCCTCCCAGACGGAGGAGAGCTCCCGAATCGGCCGCCTCCCTGTTCAGGGACGCGGGGAACACCCCCACGCCGTTCCCGTAGCTCAGGATCTGGGTCATGACGGTCAGTAATCACCATGAAACGCTGGTCCCAGCCGGCAGGTGCCGGCCGGTGGCACCAGGTAACAAGAGCACGGGAAGCAGGGCCCCGGGTCCCTGCAGGGCGGGCGGCCTCGCAGAGAAAGAATCAGGAGGACACCATCCGGCACAGCCGCGGGAGGGACCGCACCTCCAGCAGCAGATTAGACTCGGGAAGGAACGGACCAAGGATACCCGCGCCCCAGCTCCCGGGCT